CCAAGGTTACTGAGGCTTAAGCGTTGAGACAAATCTAATAATCCCACCTCAAGGCTTAAACTTTCCAAATCCATGTAGAGTCATTCGTGAAAGAGCTCTCAACTATGGCTGCAAATGGATTGAATTTAGCTGCATTTGCATCCACATTTGATTATGAAACTTCAAGACTTAAGCCTTTTAAAACCATGAAGAAGACTAGTACAAATAGAGTCATTATGAAACCTCTAGATCCACATCTACATTTAATTATTACGTCAGATTTTAGATTAGATTCGAATTTAATCCACAACCACCTTATTGTATTTAAAATGACCAAAAATGGAAAAAAATCTAAAGACTTAATTATTTTTAAATTATATACTTATAATATAATATATTAAATCTATCAATTATACTTTATATGATTGTACATAATATCTTTATATATATTATATATAATAATAAATTTTTATTAGATTGGGATTTTAGTTGGATTGGATGGGATTAAATCTGCATCCCATCCGATTATTAATTAGATGTAAATTCTAACATCCAAATCCAAGTCAGATTTGGAGTCAAACTTTGTTTGATTTAATTGAGATATTGGGTACAGTGGCATTTATACGAAGGTGTATTGTCACATCATTTCAATTAGAAAAATACATGCATGTGAATAATCATCGCCATCTACAAAATGCCTTTGACATAAATGCTTTGAAAACCGGATTGGGTATCAAACTTGACTCCCGAGGGTGTCCAAATTCTCTATTTTCGTGGCCAATGGTTTTAACCGTTAAGACTCCCTTATTTTTTCAGTTTTGAATGAACCAAAAAGAAAAAGGATTTAATTCTGGCCGACCCGGTTCGACCAACAGGAGTTTTCAAAACATTGCTTGAGACTGGGGCTTGGTGTTAGGTAGGCTCCACTGATTATTGACGGATAGATGTAATCATCTAGGTGATATTAGAATTGGAAACCATACAATGTCTTACCATAAATCTTGAACACTTGATATGGTTTAATATAAACGCAATTATACTGTATTCCTCTATACCAGTGTTCTCAAAATCGGACTGGACCAGAAAACCTGGAAACTGGTCACTTGATTGGTTCAGTTTCACCCTTAAATCAATTTTTTACCATAAACTGTTGATTTGGTCAGTAAACCACTGATCTGGGTAGTCGAATCATCAAATTATTTAATGGGTTTTCAACCATTTTTTGTTTTTTTTTTTCAAGTTTTTGTTAGAATAGTCCATCCATTTGATCCCAACGGTCAGACCATTCAACCTGAGAACCGGACCCAAAATGATTCGCTGTCCTTTCCGATTTTAAAAACCTTGTTCCATACTATTACCCTTTTACCAAAATGCATGGCAAAATTCATCCTACAAATCCGTGGATTTCCTGAAGGGAAAATCAGAATTACTTAGGGGCTGTTTGTCAATTGACTGGAGCTGTTGAATTGAACGACTTTTAATAGATAAAATAATTAAATAAAACCTAATTCATCACTATATACCTAACTTCAATTTCAACCATTAAAAACCCCACAACCTCCTTAAAACCTAATTCACTAGAAGACAAAGCAGTAAATCAACCGTTATCAAACAGCCCATCCGCTTAGATGATCAGCCTGTGGATTTCCATTGAATTGTAACATAACTTCTCAAACCAACCAGTCGAATAAATAAAATAAAAGAAAAAAGCACGTGGTTTCCATCATCCTTTATTAGTTTTTTAGTGAATGTAGGACCCACTGATGGTAGGTATAAACCTCCAAACACGCCACGTGTGATAGTTATCTTCTATCCTCATGCCTAAGATGTGACTAAAAGGAAAAAAATGACCATTTTTTTGAAAAGAAAATTGTCTTAGACTAGATTTTAAAAGCTTGGGTCTACTCCAGAGGCGTAAGACACGTAGAGTCAACAACTCGGCGCGTGCCGCATTTTTAGAGTATAAGAACCACCACCGAACATGACTCACGTAGTAGGCTGACAGGCTGTGTTTGGTTACAGTGCAAATTTATTTGCACTAATACAAATGCATGTAAATGTAAAAAATGCAAATTCTTATTTAATTTTGTTTTGAATTTTACTTTATTCTGTTTTATGTCTTAATTTTGCAATCAAATAAAAAATTTAAAATTTAAAACAAAAATAAGTCAAAATTTACATTCAAATCATTTGCACTACCATAATTTTACATCAGTACAAATTTATTTGCATTGCAATCAAACACAGCCTTAAGAATTTGTCTCATCAATGTTAATGTTTTCAGGTACTCTCTTTTGTTTGATTGGTTAAGCGGCATCTTGACAGCTTATCATTCTTAACGGGATCTAAACCAAATCTGGTAGACATAATAAACACGTTCAATGAGCACTTGAAAAATATTGTAATAACTGTTAAAAGTGGATTTTAATCTTTATGAAGGGTGGGCTGGGGGTATTCTATGGGACAAGTGTCAAAATATTTTTTAAGTGCTCATTCAACGTGCCTACAAAGTTGTGCCTACCTGATCCAGACTGATTCTTAACATGTAATGTGACTTTGTGAGTCACGTTATGATTTGCAACCTGTGGTCCAGGCCCAATACTCCTTTCACTTCTTAGGGGTTCATTTGGTTTGCAAGAATAGAAGTCCAGAGTCAGAATTGGAACAGTCCATTCCAATTCCAATTGTTTGGTTGGGCAGAAGTAGAATCCCATTCTCGTTCCTGGTGGAATGATATTCTTTAATTTGAGGTAGGGGTGACCACGAGCTAAGCTCTTCACGAGCTACTTGAGCTCGGCTTAGTTTCAATCGAGCTTCGAACTTTCAACCGAGCTTCGAGCCAAGCTCGAGTCCAATTTATAGGCTCATTTAATAATCGAACCAAGCTTGAGCCTAATATACATACATACATACATACATATAATAATAATAATATAATTACAGAAAATAATATATATAATAAAAATATTATAAAACATTTTTTCTTAAGTCAAGGTCGAACTTACAAGTTTTTGATTCGAGTCGAGCTCAAGCTCGTACTATTTGGCTCGGCTGATCTACCCCTAATTTGAGGGAATGACCATTCCCTCCCCCTTCCCTAGGAATGAGAATTCATTTTAGTCAAATTCGAATTCCGATTGCGGTCTGAACCAAACAGGTAAAGGAAATAGACAATTTTGATTCCTTTTGGACCAAATAGCCTTAGTTATTATCATGAATCTCAAGGTCCATTTGGTTCAGGAGAATAAGGGTCTCTTCCAACCATTTGTTTGAGCAGAATGTGATTTTGATTTTAACTTTTGGCAAAATTATAATCTCCCATTTGATGGAATGGTCATTTTAGCCTCCCCTCTTGAAAATGATATTCTGATTTTGATTTCTATCTTGAACCAAACAGGCAAGGGGAATAAGAAATTCTGATTCAAATTCCAGGAAATTTCGATTTCGGTTCTAACTGCGAGCCAAACAGATTTTCAGAAAAGCATGGAATGTAGTTTCGAAGGAGAAGACCCAATTTATGGATTTATGGGCCTCGCATAAGCTAGGTCTAGAATGAAAACTGACTCCGAATCTCCTACCCACGAAAACTCGTCTACCCACAACACACTACCCCCGTAAATTGAGAACATCTATATTCTTCATCTATAATTGCAATATTATGTGAGTAAACGTGGGCAAAATTTGCGTGAACAGAAGATCCGGACTCATGAAAACTACTAGCCTTCAGGTGAATTTTGTAAGATATTGAAGTCTTTATATGATCGTCCTTTCCTGAAAAGGAAGTATCACCGGCCGTTTTGAATTGTAGGGTGACATAATGGGTTGGAGATCCAGCCCAGTAACTGCTGGATCTGTCAACGCTTTGAGGCAGACTTAATTAATTTTGGCCTCGACCTGCTCAGAGACTCAGACCAGACACCAGTTCGGCCCCATTTACTTCTGAAAGTTTGGATGGACTTGAGTTGGGCCAAGATAAAAGTTAGCTTATATTAGGGCCCAGTCCCGCAAGCTTGTAAATACATGGGTACAGGACAAAGCCTGAATTATGGGTAAAAAATCTTCTGGCCCAGTAAAATGGGTTGAATCTAATTTATAACCGGGTAGACCAGTCCCAAATTGATTTTCCAATTAAATGAGATAATAACAACGTAAAACTTCATTTTTGATAATATATTCCTAATAAAAATGACATTGAATAGTAAAACAAGTGTTTTAAACCAAGATTATCTTATATACTGTATAAAATTTACCCCTATAAAATATGACAAAAATTACAAAAGAAAAAATCAAGAGACCTTTATATATTATTAACTATATACCAAGAACCAATATAATTGGTTCGGTTCTATCGAATGGAGTTAATATGAACGGTTCATCTGAAAAGAAATCCAAATGATGCAGCTCTAATGTGGTTCAATCTGAACTGGTCCCAATCCACCTCTTTGTCACATCATCAACTCTATGTAACTAGATTCAACCCAAATAGGGCACTTATTGAACCAATTTCAATCTTTAACAGCTTCTACTATTGGGGAATGTACCCATATCTGGTCCAGGAACAGAATTGACAAGGACCGGACATTGAACATGTGGCCAGTCAGTTGGGTCCTAACACTCCTAATTGGATTGGTCGATCAATAATCCCTTCACATGGTTGAAGTGAGAACACCTACCAAGCCATCAAATTGAATTGTAACGACCACTGGTCGATTAAAGATTAAACCCTTCACGTGGTTCCTGGATCAGCCCTTTTGATCGTTATTGCATAGCATTCCTCAATCCCACATCACAGTTTCAATTTAAACTCATTTATAAATTATGAAAAAAAAAATGAAGAAGCTGCAACTGTAATGAGAAGCGTTACTACAATTATATAACCCATTTATCATTGATTTAAAGCTATGTTGCAGACCCCAAATGAATAGATCATCTCCTATCCTCTCTCTCTCTCTGGAGATGGTAAAGAAAGGTAGATTAAAGGGACCCACATTCACGGAGTAGCCAAAAACCAGTTACAATCGTAGAAAGTTGATTTGCCCATTCCATGTATTAAATTGGAAAAATAAAAAATAAGGGGGTGGGTTGATTCTCTTAGATAAACGGTCCATGTGGTTGGTGGGCCTATAAAAACTATTTAACGGACTCCACAATGACTTACTTTGATTTATTAATTACATGTACACCTTGCAACTTCCAATAATAATTCAACATTATTGCTTTCCACAATGGAGAGAGGAAGGGAAGAAAAAGAGGGGAGATAGGGATGTGTTGATTAGGACCCAGACCCAAATGACCCAAATGGGGTACCTACCTTCTTCCCTTCGGAGGACCCTAAAGACAAACATTGGGTTGGGGTGGGTTGTCCTATGAGGATTGAATTTTGGGTGTATTAGTTGCTTTTGGTACAATTCAATTTAGGACCCGAAGGGTGCTCTGTGAGGGATGCCCTTTCTTCTCCTTGGATTGGAAGCAGGTGGTGGAGGCGTGGGCGGGTAAATGTCGTGTTGGCTACCTTCACGCAATTCTTCTTCCTGTCTTGACAATCTCCTCGATATCCCTTCCCCTCTTTCCATTACTTCATTCTTCGTGTCTAAGATAAAGCTCGCGTCCCCATTCCTCTTTATTCCTACAAGCTTTTTTATTAAAAAACAATTGCAGAAACCCATGAGAAAACCTTTCCAAGCAACCCCATTTGATCCACATTAACAAACAATTGTCTTTTGAGTAATGGGTCATGGCGATTATGATGATGATGGTGAGTGATTCATGATTCATGATGGATGGGTGTATGATAATGGCGATGAATGTGAGCAGAGAGACAGACAGAGAGAAGATAGAACTGACCTTACATCCCAATGAACAGAAACGGAAGGTGTCTAACAGGCTTCTTCCACATATCTCACATATATGAGCTACTCCTTTGCCGGTTTTAGGCTGGGGCCTCTCATTCAGAAACAGAACTCTGGCACTGTTGATCACATACGTCTGAACTCCACTGATATCAAGAACATTCTGAATTTCGGCCACCCTCACCACATCATGATAAGATGATCGCCTTATCTGTCAACCAAATCCCAATTCAGTCTCTCCTCTCCCTAATCAATCAATCTCCTCACGACTCCACCCTTAAAGAAATGAGCTCGGTAATCTGAAACAAAAGGAAAACAGACAAGGAAAAGAGTTTACTACCCACCTGAATTACTCGATGATCCTTGTGCCTTGACCCCCGGCAATAGAAGCAGAATGCGTCACAGCTGCAATCGAGGCAATACATGTTGCATTCGCTCCGAGGTGCGTCGCCGTGTGTTCGGCAGATGGAGAAGAATGCCGTCGATAGCAACGGTTCCAGCCATGGCGGCACCAACCTTGATCCCTGTGAAGAACCCAGAACACCAAAACCCATGAATTTAAAACCCAGTGAGGAAATACTGCCTACTGCGAGCAGAAGACAGATTCTTGCATTGTAAATCGAATTTGTTTCAGACTCCAGTAGACCAACATTACCATTACAAAGGCTGATCTTTCTGTAATGGGAGCTTGAAGGAATGCGAGTCTCCTTCGACTGATGGTACCCTCTGAATCCTCCTCCTGATAATGGCGGAGAATCTAGAAAGAGACATAAACAAACCAGGAGGGAGGAGGGAGGAGAAGGGAGGGGAGAGAGGCAGAGAGAGATGCCCAAACGATCTGCAACTTAGAATTCAACAACAAAACAACGCCTCGACTAGGGGACAAGTACATAAACAAATATGGGCATCCGGCGGTCGAGATTGATCGTGGTGGCTCAAATGGATTATCGTCCGTCGGATCGGAGGAGGGGAGTGGTTTTGGCGCTTACGCTGCTTAGCTTTTTGTTTGCGTCTCTTCGTAGGCACAAGGTCGGCAACTAGGCTACGCATGGAACGAGTGGCTGTTCATGAAAATGACACCATCCACGTGGATGCCACGTGTGCGATAATGTAGACGTGGCACAACCTCCACTATTTGTTTTGGGTGGACCCACCACTCGGTTTGCTTGTTGGTGATGACGTAGGGGCCGGAGGGTGAAACAGACAGCCAAGAATACCAAAAAAACAAAAAATAAATTATTAAATAGTGGTTATTTACATTTACCGTAATGCCCTTACATATCAGTTATATTACGTCTATGCCTGCTGACGTTAAGTTAGGTCACGAGAAACCAAACCTTTTACGTAATTTCTAGGCAGTGTCTTAATCGAGAAATTAATTAAATTTTATTTTTTGTTTAAGGTAGAGAAGGGATAATTTAATAATATTAAAATATTCACAGCAAACTCTTGAATAGAAGGAGACTTTTTTAATGATCCAATGTAGCATGACTTACCGTAAAACAATTTTTTTATTCACTTGAACAACTAGGATTTGCTCTTCTGATGAACTAAAATATACTCTTGAACATGATCATCTTTGTCTTGGTGGTGTGGTGTCTACAACTGTAATTTGCAAAGAGGGTATATGGTTCAATCATGGACGTCTTATTTCTGGACCACTCGTTTTAAGGGACCGACACGTGTTAGGCTTGCTGGCATCGATCGTCGTCACCTAATTTTGGGAAAAAAATCTAATCCGATGGTCCTAAACTCCAACTCCAAAAGAAAGGTTTTAATTATTATGTTTGTATGCATAGCTGCTGGATAATTTTTTTTTCTACAAATAAAAAAATAATGGCTATATATATGAAATATAAAGCCAACGTAGAAAGGACAAAAAAGTCAACACCTATTTGTAATTAATTTCTGTAATTATCTATTTTTTCAATGAGTGTGATATGGGCACGCCTTAATTTTGATAAATAAACAATATTTTTTTGAAAAAGACAAAACCAACCTTATAAATGTACATTTATAATGCCCACCACCATCCATATCATTGGGATGTGCCCTGATAAATTCCCCCTTTTCAATATAGGGTCTGTTTGGTTTGGTTGCAGCTTGAAAAATAAGAAAAATTCCGAAAATTATTATTTTATTTATGATAAGGGGTGCAACTTGGACAGGTTAGGGTTGGGATTTTATTAAAATTTCAATCGGGCCAACCTGAACCCCCGAGCCCAAAACAGTGTAAAATGTTAACTCAGGCCAATCCCACACCATCTATAGTGACACAAATGACTGTACAAGAAGTGATTTACGATTTTTCAAAAGATTAATTATAAGAAAATGACATTTCTTCTAGTTTTTCATATATCAATTATTCAGATTTTTTTTTTTAAGTGTAACATTAAAAAAATAGAACATAATTAAATTTTCGTTTTTTCTTTTTTTCCAGACAAATAGAAAGGGGGTAATATTCCCACAAACCCCTAAACCAAAAGTGAAGACAAGATTTGGTCCCAGGTCTCCCCTGTATAAGACTTTAATTACCAGAGATTTAAGGATATATTATTATTATTATTATTATGGTATCATGTGCAATAAAATCTAGCCATAGTACAAACAAAAAAAAAAATTCAGAAGTAAAATTTATTTAATTATGTTGAATTTTAGCTCCCTACACATGAAAGAAAAAAGAGATGTATGATTTAATTTGACATATACATCAGAGAGAGAGAGGGGGGGAGCCCTAATGTGTGGGCCAAGTGTCCTAATCATGGGAGCCTTACTTGCCTTTAGATTGAACTTTTCTTGTATATGAGCCAAGTGAAAAGTATGTTTATGCGCTTTAAAGTAGAAAAAGAGGAACCCTAAAAGAGTATACAATGGAGGCCTTCATTGGAAATTAGTTATTTATACAAGAAATGAAGGAACTTAGAGTCTGTTTGGGACCCTTTAGAAAAGAAATAAAAAAAAAAGAAAGTAACTTGATAATAGTAGAGAGAATTAAGAAAAAAAAAAGGTTTGGCTTGTGGCTTAATGATTGGGCGAAAGAGATACTCATGCTGTATTAAATGAGATGCACAGCTGTGTAGAGAGAGAGAGAGAATATTAGAAATAGATGAGGAGAGGGGAAAGGGGATCCTCATCAGTTGCTCCAAGGAATGGAAGAAAGAAGAATGCTTTGCTTGATTAGTTAGTGTTGATAGATCCCTTTATGTAAGAAACAAGGAGAGCAAGGCTGGCAAACATGGGAATGTGCACCATTGAGAAATGAGAACCATTCTTCAATGACTTTCCTTGTTTCTTGCCCATTATTACGATTAATTTATCATGTGCTAATGTCTTTCTTTGCACTATTAATTAGCATTCTCTTCACCTATAAGTTTTCTCCAAATTCATCATCTTACCTTATTCTCTCTCTCGTTTTAGGTCAATTTGAGATGAGAAAACCTTCCTACCCATGATGATGATACCATCAAAGCCCATTTGGAGAAAGAATATAATAACTCCTATAAGAGAATCTCTCTCTCTCTCGGTTTAGATCAATTTGAGATGAGAAAACCATTCCACCCATGATGATACCATCAAAACCCATACAATAGCTCTTCTAATGTGACTCTCTCTCTCTCTCAATCAATTTGGGATGAAAAAACCATCCTAGTCATGATGATGCCATCAAAACCCATTTGGAGAAGCTAAAAAATTAAAAAATATATATATATAATAACTCTTATAAAGGGACTCTCTCTCTCTCTTTCTTGTTTGAGATCTATTTAGGATGAGAAATCCATCCTACCCATGATGATACCATCAAAATCCATTTGGGGAAAGCCAGAATAATTTGAAATAATAATATAATAACTCCTATAAAGGGAATCTCTCTCTCTCTCTCAGATCAAGAAATCTGTCCTATCCATAGTGATATTTACCAACAGATTGAACACCCATTTAGAGAAAGCCAACATAATTTGAAAGAATATAATAATTAAAAAGAAAGGAGTCTATACTGGTTGGTAGATGACATCAGGTGGCATGGCCAAAAAATTAGGTCAGTGACACATGAAGTAGACATGCATGATCAACTCCAAACGTCTCCACATATATAATTAACAAGTTTAACAAGTAAGATCAGTGATGATTTGATAGATTTAATCCTTATTTTTTATTTTAATTAATTGCATTATTAATAGGGGTGTTCATTATACGTTTTAAACCGTAAAACCGAACCAAACCCTATATTCCTAACGGTTTGACTCCGGTTTCACAAATTTGAAAATACGGTTTACGGTTTGGTTTATTAAATTTTCTAAACCAAATCAAATCGTAAACCGTATAAATATAATATACTATATATAAGCTATATAATTATAAAAATTAATATAATCAATTTTGAATTTTGGCATCCTCTCTCTTCTCTTCAATAGCCGATAGCCCTTTGCCCCCCCTTTTGGTTTTCTTCTCAGAGAACACCGAATGAGAGTGAGAGAGAACCTCAGCCCCCTCTCTATTTGCATCGTTGGTCGCCGACAATTGCCGCTGGTTTAGTGTCACCGATCATCGTTGGTCACCGATGATAAACTGATTTATTTTTGGTTTTGTTATGCATTGTATATATTTCAATTGTTAATAATAAATTGATTTATTTTTTTTGCAATTTTATTAGTAGATTTGTATATAAAATATATTCTATTGTTGTTTGTTGAAATGTTCCTATTTTCAAATATACTTCATTATTACCATATTTACATAATTGTTAATATACTTCATTATTAACAGATTTACATACTTGTTTGGTTGGGTCAAATTTAATATGAAGAAAAGATATATGAATTCTTGTTTTGTCAAACTCTATTGCTTATGATGTTTTGTGGAACCGTAATAAAATGATTTGATTTCTATACCAAAACAGTTTGGTTTGATTTGAAAATTTTCCAAATCATAATTTACTGGTCTGGTCTGGTCTGGTCTGAAAAATTCTCCAAGCGGCATCAAACCAGACCGCGAACACCTAATTATCAACACCCCCTTGTATCATGCATATGCTTTTGCTTTGAGGTTCATGCTAACAATTTGCTTCTTGACTAGCTAAATACTACCAAATTTTATATTGAAAATTAATTAATTAATCAAGTAATTATGTCTTGGAGGTGATAGGGAGTGAGAAGATAAGAAGAAGCCGGGTCCCATTTTGTGATGGGCATGTGTTTGGTTTGTTTTCCTTTTTGGCATTTCGTCATTCCCCAAATAACCCTTGCTTGGAGTCTTGCTTCATGAAAAGCAATCTCTTTTTTAAGTTCTAACAACCTTTAAAGTAAGTGGATCCCCCCACTTATTCCAATCCAATGGTTAGTGGAGGGGTCATCTTAATTACTTTGGAAGCACTACCCAAAAGAAAACTAAAGGCCGCTGGAGCTACTCATTCCTTTAAGAAAAGAAGATCAATGATAGACGACCTCAGGCCTCAGCAAACTGTGCTAGATTGAGACCAACGTAGAAGAAAGAATGTGTGAGATGGAAATTAAACACAAAAGTTTCACACAGTTTTGCAATTGATAATCAGTTAAAAAGCATTGCATTATAACAGCATATGTAATGTCATGGGTCCCAATTAAAGTGTGATATTTTCCCTTATTGATGGGAAAAAAAAAAAATAAAGTAAGGAGAAAGGAGAAAACCAAAAAGGTTCCATCGATCCATCTTTTAGATTAATACAAGTGTGACACATTAACAAATGATAGGTACACCAGTGACGTGATTGGAAGGGGATGGACTTCATTTGGTGGGTCTTAAGTGGAAAATATTTTACATCAATTTGATAAATAATATTTTTGTTGTCCCAATCAAGTAAAAAATTATATACACTCTGCAAGTACATACATCCAACCATACAT